TCAGTTAGCATTTTTCTTTTTTTTATATGGGTTTTGTTTAGCTTTTAAACAGTTTGCTGCTTTTAGTTAATGTTTAATATGTTTAGCTTCTGGCTAGTGTTTTGCTATTTTTAACTTTTTGTGCCTTATTAGCTTTTAGTTAGCATTTTGCTACTTTGAACTAGCATTTTGCTACTTTTAGTTAGCATTTTTTTGTTTTTATATGGGTTTTGTTTAGCCTTTAATAAACAGTTTGCTGCTTTTAATTAATGTTTGTGCCTTCTTAGCTTTTAGTTAGTGTTCTTCCAAATTTTATGCATTTCTTTTAGCTTTTAATGAACAGTTTGCTACTTTTAGCTCGTATTTAACATGTTCATCTTCTGGCAAGTGCTTTGCTATTTCTAGTTAACTTGTGCTTCTTTTAGCATGCATTTAGCTAATTTTAGTTTGCATTTCAAAAGTTTTTGTAGCTGTCCAGTGCTCACGATATAGTCAGAATTCATATTAGGGGTTAGAAATTCACAAATATAAAAACAAGCATTGTTAATGAGCAATCAGGAGTTAATATATTTTATTAAAAATAAAAACAAAACTTCAGATCAAGTTCTCCTGAATAAGGACAGCCGGTCTAAAACATATGTCCTCAACATTAGGATAGATCTCAGGAATATGCAGAATATTTTTTATAAAGGACAAGCTTCAGCATGTTGAATAGTGACAGAGCTTTTCTGAAGCCGATAAAAAAGCAAATAAAGGAATAGTTTAGGATAATGTGTTTAGTAGAATGTACAATCACGATTGTGCTGTTTTCTGTCATTTAATTCCCTGTTTTGGACTAATAACCTTTTTTTTTTAAATAAATAACCAAAATTTTATTCACAAAAGCTGCAACAAGCAAAAAAAAAAAGCAATTTATTTGGCCTTTGGTTTTGATGTGCCACCCCACGGATTTTTAGTGCCCCCCCAACACGGCCACCCCACTAAAACATTTCTAGTGGCGCCACTGTTCCCACTGCATGTATTATTATTAATATAGAATAAAAACTTTGTGTTTATTACATGAGGACCCACAGAGTCGTGGCAGGCCTCGGAATGTTTATTGCTGTTTGTTTCAGACAACAGGGAGCTCTTACCTTCTGCGAGCTCCACTTGCCTTCGTCGAAGATGTCCCCGAGGATAAAGACCACCTCGGGCTGCAGCAGCCACAGGGCGGTCTGGAAAGCTCGCTCCATCTGCCATTCCCTGCGGTTCGACCACAGCAGGCGGCGTCATTTATCCTTGTTCACGCTCAGCATCATCATTATTAATTAATAAATAAATAATATGACGGCCTCACCTCCGCAGCTTGTCGAACCAGTGTCCCCCCACAGCCCCGAGGAGGTGGGTGTCCGACAGAACCATAGCGCGCACGGCAGAGTCCGCCCCGCCGGTGCCCTCTCCGTCCCGCGCTCGGCCGAGCTTCGGCCACGCGCACTGGAAGATGGCCGGGAAGTAGATGAGGTACTCGCAGAAGAAGAAGGCGCCGACGACCACCAGCAGCGCCGCGACCCCCGGCTTGGCGCTGAGCCTCAACATGTCTCCGTTAGTCGGTGAGCGGGATGCCCCGGACTAGAGCTCAGACGGCGGCGGTGATGGAGCGGTCCATGACGGGGCATCTTCAGTCCCGCTCCGGAGCCTGGAGGCTTCAGGTGTTCGGCATCTTAAACGGCTCGGAAAATAAATAAATTAAATTAAATAACAAACAGCGTCGAATTCGGTGGAGCCCCCCCCAAAAAAAAAAACAAAAACAAACAAAAAAAAAAAACAGGAGGAGCTGATAGAAAGTTTTTTTAAATAAAAAAATACATATTACTATTTCTGTTTGTTTGTTTGTTTGTGAGAGAGCGCGAGCATCCTACAGCAGCGCTCAACCGTTAAGCTAAAACAGCACTTCCGGTGCCGCTTTTCAAAACAAAGCGGTGAAAACGCTCCCTACCTGCATGATACATGCGCACAAAACGTCTTATTTTGAAGTCGCCATTTTCATCATGTCTACAATTTTAAAGAAATTACTGCCATTTTTATTTGACGCTTTTCGTGGCAGTCATGAACAAATAGCCCACAACACAAAGCAGCACTTATTCATTCGTTCAACCTTTATTTATATTTATACAGGTTAGTCTCATTGAACCTGGAAGAGACACCTGTTTCAACAAAGAGCACAAATGAGGTACAAACAATCGACAATCATATAAAAAGCATATAAAATGAAAAGTAAATGGGAGAAATTATATAAAAACGAAACAAAAACAGATACATTATAAAATACTAAAAACAGGAACACATGGTTTTTGCCACGAACCAGGTTTTTGCAAACCTGTGCAAAACAACCAGCCAGTGAAGTAGATTTTATTTCCTTGTTCCTTTCATCCAAATATATATTCAAACTTCCTTTCTTGTACCAGTTATTTTAGAAACATTTATTAAACTACCACAGGATGAATACACACTGAAGATACTTTAATCCCAGAGTTTGGACTAAAATCATTTCAGGATGAGAAAATATTGTTGCAGCAATATCATTCGATACTATGGAATGTCACGCTTAAAATATACACTGACGGGCAACAAAAATAAAAAAGTCGCCACCAAAAAATAAAAGGTCACACACTAATATTTTGTTGGGCCGCCTTTTGCTTTGATTACAGCGTGCATTTGCTGTGGCATTGTTTCGATAAACTTCTGCAATGTCACAAAATCTATTTCCAGCCAGTGTTGCATTAATTTTTTACCAAGATCTTGCACTGATGACTAGACACTAGGCATGATGGGTGCATCAGGATTCATTCAGGATTCTTTTCCAGCCACATTTCTTCCTTGAAGACGATGGGTCCCCACTATCTTTCCAGTTTTTAATAATGCATTGGACAGTTCTTAACTAATTTTAGTAGTTTCTGCAATAGATGTTTTCTCTGCTTGATGCCAATGATTTGACCCTTCTCAAACAGACTGGCATCTTTTTCCACGACCACACGATGCGTCTTTCAACATGGTTGTTTAAGAAATGAGAAGCAACTCATTGCACCAGTTGGGGTTAAATAACTTGTTGCAGCTGAAAGATAATCGTCCATGCAGTAAATATTCAAAAGGAGACTCGTACCTATTTGCTTAGTTAAATCCAGGTGGCAACTTTTTGGGGGGCCAGGCAGTGTATGTTGGAGATGACTCTCAGCTACTACCAAATCTAAGCTCAATATCTGCAAAACTGATGGAGTTACGGCCATTTTTGTGTTAGTTTAAAATCGACTTGTCTTGTGTCCATAGTGAATTAGATTGGCAACAAATGGTTAACAGTTTTAGAGATATATTCATTGATTAAAAACTATTTTGTAGTGGGTGTGCTAACTGAACCAGCAATACAGTAGTGAAAATTACTTAAATGTACAGAAATTCTTCCAAGTTCTGGGAAAATATGCATGAAAATATATTTTAAAACGGTTTGCTTTTCTGTTTTTATTTTTTAAAGGCATTTTATTTTTATTTTTTAGTTCAGAATCAGTGTTTTACTTTGAAAGAAACGCTAACTTCCGGGTTTTTCTTGCTGAGACATGGAAACTTGACACATTGAAAGAGACCAGGAGACAAAAAAAAAAAAAAAAATCTCACACACACACAACACCTGAGCTGCAAGTGATTTAAGGAAAACTCATCAATAATCTGAGCACGATGATGTTTTTGTTTATCATCAAAAATCTGATGAGGGGACTGAGAGGACAGACAGATGGACAGGAGACAAACAGGACAAAGTTGATTAAGTGATTTAGAGGATTTACAGTGATGTGCAGGTCTCTCTTGTAAATGAGTGGCTCAATGAGACTAATCTGTATAAATAAAGGTTGAATGAATGAGATCAGCAGCTGGTTCTGGCATCAGGGTGCAGATACCTGCTCAACCAGTTGGACAACAGGAAGGAGGTTTACTGTAAACCTGACCTGAAAAGCTATAAGCAGAGATAAAACTGCTGGAAATCATAAGGAACTTTAATATAAACATTTATAATTATTTTAAAAAAGCACCTCAGAGAGACATAACTTACAGTATAGTTCAAATGGCAAAAAAAAGGTGTTTTTAATTGTATTTTTTAAATGTAAACCTACTATAGTTACTAAAAATGCTGTAGTGTTTATGTATTAATGTTGCAACTGCATTTGTACGATTATTATTCATAATCCTCGTGATTAAAAAATATAAAAAATTTAAGTAATGAAAACTAGAACATGAGACTGAGTAGAAACCGTTCAAACCTTAAAAATCAAGTTATTTTCGCTCAATATGTCTCAAATACCTGAGCTGTAAATATGTTTGTGTGAGCTGGCTGTGGCAGCCATCTTGAACTGGACTGACTCCAAAGGCCCTTAATCATAGGCGCAGATTTCAGAATCCAAGTTTCTATAACTTACAGAAGATAAGCTAAAAATATGTTTTTAAATTGAATTATTCTTTTTTTTTATCTCATCTAGTCGTAAACGTTGGACACGTTTAGCCAGAATGAAACGTTTTTAAAGAGAAGATCGTCATCCGGAGCATCGTGAGGTTGCTAATCTTAGTGCACGAACATGTTTGGACGGTTTGCTCCACATTTTTGTTCAGCTACAGTTCACTTGGACGTGAATTACCCTGATCGAGCTTGAATTTCTGGTTCTGTTTTCGCTCTTACCTGCGAAACAAAAACAGCCCAGGGCTTCAGAACCTGTCAGTCAAACAACAGGTCGTTTCATTAGATTTTTAACCATCACAAATAAGAGATCTATTAAAAAAAAACAATAATTAGTTTTCATTACATCTAAAAATGTCAAGCTGAAACGTGCTTCATGTATTTAAAGCTCCAACCCTGACCTCCAATAAAGAGGTTTGGTAACTCAGCTCCATGTGGCCCAAACCATACACCTGTCCTGAGAACCTCCAGGAGGACATGGGGACAACTGTCTCCACGCAGGCTGGAGACAAAGCTGTGGACAAACTCAGATCAGGGTTATCCCGGACCGCTGAACATCCCACAGAGCTTCATTAAATCCATTACCAGTAAGTGAAAGGACCTCAACACAAACTAATATTAAACTAACACACATGTGCACCTCACCTGTGCACTATCTTTATAAAATCAGCTAAAGTGAAGTTTTTAGTTAAAAGTTCTTGCATTTTTTTTTTAAGTCCAAGGCCTTTTTTAAATGGATTATGTTTTATTGTGAAGCACTTGCTGAGTTTTATCTGAGAAAAGTGTCGTATAAATCAACTTTACTCACAAGAGATGAGAGGGTCTGTCACCTTCAGCTGCACGAGGAAGAAGTCATTACTCAACATGAAACGTCAACAAAAAGCTGAAAGGTTTGGAGATCAAACTCCAACTTTATTGGTCGAGTTTGACCCAAACCTAACGCTCCTCGTCACGCTGAGAACGCCATCCCCACACTGGAGCACGGCGGTGGCAGCATCATGCTGTGGGGATGTGTGCCATGAGCAGAGACTAAGAAACTGGTTGGAGTAAAACAAGTTAGATGAAGCAAAACCCAAATAAACTCTGTTGGAGTTTTCCAGATGGCAGGTTTGGAGGTTCGTTTTCCTGCAGGATGCCGACCCTGAACGCACCACTGAAGATACTCCGCTGGCCGAACGCACACGAACGCCCCACACTTTTTGTTTCATGCTTTGTTTTACTTTAAAGGGGAACAATTCAGTAATAATACACTATTTCAAACATGCTGAGATTAATTTTCTTTTTAACATTTAAAGTTGTGTTTTGCCTTAAAATATATATTTTTTTCTTTTTTAAACTACAGAAATTCAAATTTAGCTCATTTTATTGTTTAAATAATAATAAACGTGTGAGACTTTGACACACGAGGTCAAACATTAACTCATTTAATAAAAAAGGCAGGACTAAGAGGAATAAACGTCTGAGGGATGTGGTTTAGAAGGTTTAAGGTAAAGTTTTGACATTTTGTGTTCTTTGTTAATCTGTGGTTCAGTGGCTCAGCGGATCCGTTTTCTCCTCACACAGTCGGCATCGACACCTCTGCGGTCGGTTCTTTCTGCCAGCCACGTTTTCAGGAAACGGCAAACTACAGTTTGGTTTTCTTTATGATCCAAACAAAAGAACATTATCTGCCGCTGACCTGAATCAAGCGTTTAAACTCCAACATGTAGATTTTAGCTGCTTCAAGCCGACTGTCTACTTTAATTTAATATTTTAAAAACAATAAACCAAACTTTGGCTTGTAAACTGGCTCAGTCACATATGAAATGTCTCAGGATTTTTGCTACAGTTACTGTAAGCTACGCAGCTCAGGGGGCAGACATGCATAAATTAAAGTTATAATTAATAAACCAAGTATTACAATGATCTAAAATTGTTTATTTTACAGCATTGAATCATAAATGCAATAAACAGAACCTAGAAGTGTAATTTAAAGAATGTATTTTTCAAGATTTATTTCCCTGCAGTAAAATTAGTGATATTCTAATGTGAGACAATATTAAAAACAATATGAAATATTAAAAATAAAATGACAAACCATGCCTCCTATTTATCCTAAATAAATGTAACTGACGAATCTTTACACTTGTCAGGTTTTGAACTAAAACCCAGAGAGAATGGACTGAGAGGAACAACTCAAGGCTCGTACGAAAAGGAACAGTGTTTG